GCATTGGCTCACCAGAGGTCTGGACCCCGGCCCCGGGACCAGCTTTCATCCACATTCGTGCTCTGACAGCTTTTTGGCCCCCGGAGGCCGACACCCACTAAAAAAGCTTTCGGCGTGGCTTTTGCACGACACGATTGTGCCATGGCTTTCGGGCCATCTGCTCGGGCCTCCGGCTGCCGATCGGATCGGGCACCCCTGTAACGCTGTCGCCGAGCCGAAGCTGAAGCAGAGCACCCCCAGACGAGAAGACCTCGGAGACCAGGACGAAACGCGCGAATCGGAACGACAGCACATCTTGTCCCGACTGGTCGAGGAGGAAACGCGGGCGGAGCGGGGGATGGTGCGTGATCTGGCCACGCGAAACGAGAGACCCCAGACAAAGTGCGAAATCTGGTGCCACAAGGGGAAAGCAGTATCGGAACGCGCAAGTGCGGGGGGGGGGGGGGGCCAAGACCCTCGTGAGCCCGCGCCTGAGTCCACTCGGGCGAAGCGTCACCCTCGAGGGCGTGTTCCTTCAGACCCAGGCGAGCTGAGTATGGCAATTCCCCTCCCTCCCCCCTCCGCAACCTCTTCAGACGACACTGGGCCTCAAAGGCGTGCAAGTGAGTTCCGACTGTTGTGTGAGGTCGGGATCTCCTTTCGGGCCTCGCCACGCCCCCCCTCCCACCCTGGGTACCCATGCCGCTCCTCCCCGGACCTCTCCCGGGGCGCCTCCTGACCAGGACTTCGAGGCGAATCCAGCGGTGGCGACGAGGGGCCCCCCAGGAGGCCCACCAGAGGCGAGAACGAGGAGACGGGAGCGGCACCGGCACCTCCTCCTCCTCGGACCCTCCATGCAAGCACGCTTGCCCGAGGCCGGAGGACAACGCGGCCTGCTCGCGCGTGGCCCAGCTATGGGGCGTGGGCCAGGGCGCCCTCGCTCGAGGCACCCCTCCCTGGGCTCTCAAGGACCCCGCCCCCTCGCGCGCCCAGGGTGCGTGCCAGCGCCGCCTGGGCGCGCCGCCAGGGTTCGGGCCAGAACGCCCGCGGGGGCGGGGGGCGGCAGGAGCACCTCGAGGCCCACGGCGGTCGAGCGCCCGACGACGGATTTTTTTCTCGCAACAATCAGCCGAGGAAAGCTTGTGTGCCTGGTGTGATCCAGAAATGCGTTGGTCCACCTAACCAGCCTCCAGCGCGAGCGCCCGATGGGGGCAGGGGGGAGGCAGGGGGAACGAGAGGTGGGGGCAGGCTCAAGGGGGCGGAACCCTGCCTCGGAATCGGCGGTGCGGCAGCAGCAGCAGCAGAGCGCCCGGCACTCGAGGGGGGACCCCGCGCCCCGGGGCAGGGGGGAGGCGGGGGGAACGAGAGGTGGGGGGCCGGCTCCAGGGGGCGGAACCCTGCCTTAGAATCGGCGGTGGCAGAGCGCCCAGGCGCCCCGATGGGGGAAGCCCCGCCCGCCGGCAGCATCACGGGGGCCCCCTGCGAGGCACCTGGGGCTGGCCAGAGGCGACTCGCTCAAGGAGCCTGGCCTGGGTCGATCCAGACCCGGGTCAGTCAGGCCTTGCGGAATCCTGCAGGATCCTGCGCGATCCTACACCCCAACCCGGGTCCATGCGACCCTGGCCCTGCAGGATCCTTCAAGATCGGGCGCTCTGGCTGAGCCCCGTTTGCATTGACCCCCGTCTCAAGGCTCCCGACTCACGATGAATGGTTGGCTCCAGAACCGTAAAGACTTCTGGGGGTCCACGGTGCGAGCAGATCACGACGTCGGAGGTCTGGAGAGATGGGGGGCGGGAGTGGGAGCGAGGGAGCATAGAACCGGGACGAACGAGGTGGGGAGGCGGAGGGAAAGGGGGTGGGAAGGGGTGAGGCGGAGAGATGGTGTGGAAAGAGGCAGGAAGAAAGAGACAGGTTGTAGACACGGTGGGGAGGAGGAGAGCAGGAGAGAACAATCGAACGGTCTGCTGACCAGCACTGAAGGCTGGAAATTGTGTGGGGCGCGCAACTGGGCAGACCCGAGCAACGAACTCACGAATACGTATGCCACACTGCATGCGTGCGGAGCTTGGGAGAAGGAGCGAGGGATAAAACATGAGAAAAGCAGAGTCAATCAACATCGATACTCCGTTCTGTCTTGGAGACTCAAGCACATCGGAATGCGTCCGCATGACATCGAAATCGCCGCGCTTTGGCAAAGCCTCCTCCCCCTCCCCCTCCTCCTCCTCCTCCTCCTCCTCCTCCTCCCTCTCCTCCTCCTCCTCCCCTCCTCCTCCTCCACCTCCTCCTCCCCTCCTCCTCCACCTCCTCGCCCTCCCCTCCCTTCCTCCTCCTCCTTTTCCACTCCACCTCCTCGCCTCCTCCTCCTCCCCTCCATCCTCCTCTCCTCCTCCTCCTCCTCCTCACCTCCTCCTCCACCGCTTCCACCCAGTCCCCCCTCCTCCCCCTCCTCCTCCTCCTCCTCCTCCTCCTTCTCCTCCTCCTCCCTCCCCCACCCTCCCAGCCCCCTTCCGAGAGCCAGAGCAGCCGAGACACTAATAGTCGACGAGAGCGCGGGCCGAGACCGCGAGCCGCCTCCGCCGACGGCCCGCTGGAAGGGCTCCACCGAAGTGACTCAGTGGCGTGGAACGCCCGGGCACGAAGGCCACCGAGAGCCCTCCTGCGCCAGCCGCTACAGGGATATGCCCCCTCATCTACAGCAAGGGGGCCGACCACAGAAAACCTTCCGCAGGCAGCCCAACCCTCACAGACCCCAGGACGTCCATCGACTCTTGGCGTGGGAGAAGGCCACGCCTTCCACAGCAGCACCACCGAAAGCCAAGAGACCAAGGGCAACCCTGGAGGCGAGCGGGGTGTTTCTTGGTGTGGACCTCGACCGCGTGCTCTGGAAGAGGAGGAGGAGGAGGAGGAGGTGCAAGAGATGCAAGACATAGAGACGCCAGCAAGTTACCCGCAAGCGCCCTGTAATAACGAGAGGGATCCCCATCCACCCACACGATCGCGCGTCGGTGCCTTGACCTCCAGCTCCGTCAGCGTGCCGTAAAAGAAGACGCACGCGGCGGGGGGGGAGGCGACCCGACGACGACGGGGGGGACGGGGCCAACAAAACTACTCCTGGGGGACATCCCCAGAGAGATTCAAACCAGACTTCGGGTGCAGGCCCTCGCGGATATTCGCCAGAGACTTCCTCACCCAGCCAGGCAGCACACCCGAGCTAGGGGGCTTACACACCGAACGCAGCTTTGGCCCCAACCTCTGAGCACAATAAGACCCGCACGCCGTGCAGAAGATGCATGGGCCAGCACGCTCCATCACGTGCCCAAGAGAGGTGAAAATCTGAAACTCACACTCCCCAACCCCCACCCCCCCAGGCCTGGGCCCCGAGACCGATCCAGACTCAGGCCCAACAGAGCCAGACGCAGGCTCGGCCCCAGGAACCTCGGGCCCCAGGACCTCACGAGCACCAGACATCGCAGACTGGACCGCCTCTGGCCTGGCAAGGGGGGTCGCAGCGGCATACAATCCACCTTTGGAGAACGCAAGGCGGGCACGCTCACGCTGCAAAGGGGAGGGGATACATTCTCGCCCACTTCCTTGAGTGAGCCATTTACGCGAGGCCTCCGTTTTAGCCCTGGCCAGGCATGAGCGACAGACCAGGAACTCACCGACACACCAGAATTCATGCTCCTGGAAACGGAGGAGGGGGGGCGCGCGGAGGAACCGTGGCCTAGGGATGTCCATCTCCTGAAGGGCCTCCAGCTGTCCACCCACGACCTCCTTATGCGCAGCATGCTGGGCCGCAGCCCATCCAAAAAAATGGCGTTGTTCCTGCCAATAGCAAGCTGATCAGACCAGTAATCAACGAAGGAATCAGCGACCTCATGCGAGCAGGCCCCCAACTGCGAAAAAGTCCGCCCACATGTTGCCAAACCACCAAGACACAGGCCATTGTCCCCGCTCGAGAAACTCCTCAAGAGAGAGATGAGCAGGCACCCATTCATACATGGGAGCCTTCGGGTGATCCCTTCCCTGAGCGACTCTAAAAATTTGCCTCCAGATGTCAGCATGGGCGGCCGTGGCAGACGCATGCTCAGAAGACCATTCAACCCCCTCACGCACAGCCCCAAGGAGGTCCGAGACAGACAGCACTAAACGCGGCAACAACTGGAGCCCCCGCAAGAGCGCGTGTCTTTCAGCTCGGCCAACCGACTGGATGGGGCCTGGGAGCGGACCATAGGCCGCGCGAACTGGGAGTCCAAACTCTCCCATCTGAACAGCCGACCATCCGCAACGCCTGAATTCTGGCCAGGCGCTGTGCATCCCAGAACCATCAAAGAAGGCAGTTGGGCCCCATCCCTCAGGCTTCGACCCCCAGTCCCCACAGAAGAAGGTGGGAGGCACAGAGGACGGAGGGGGGAGATCAGGAGGAGCCTGGGGGAGCCCAATACAAAACTTCAGCAGGTGAAAGCTGTCCTGTCCCAAGACATTGACTCCCTCCTCAGACAGACGATCACGCGTTTTTTCCATCTCCTCGGACCAGGCTGGCAGACCGCCAGCATCATTCTGCTCAAGCAAATTCGGGCATGCGTACCACAGATGACCAAGGTCCCCGACAGCACGTTGTCTGCGACATTCGGGATGTGGGCAGTGTGGCGTAGGCAACCATCCACGTTGATGCCGCTTCTGCACCGTCATGAAGCCACCAGCCCACAGGCAACGAAGAGCTCCCGCAACCTGTGCATTCTTGATAGTGGCTGCCTTACCACCAACGGTGAGGTGCACCGCTCTCATCCACAGCGACTCGCCACCCTCCAAGTGTTCGGCATGATGCTCCAGAATCCTCCGACCTTGCCACCGTTGAACTCCGAGGCGCAACAACTTTCGAACATCTTTGGGAGGCGTCTTTAACAGCGAAATCACCGTGCCCGTGTCACTGACAATCAGCGTGCTACTAGCCATCTCCCAGCCTACTCCTCGCAAAGACAGCCAGGTCGCAGCTATCGGTCCTCGAACCCCCTGCCAGCCTGGAGCACGCCCCTGCCACAGGTCTAGGAGTACACGCCATGCCCTCTCGAGCTTGCCCATGTCCATCCTCATGTCGAACACGAAACAACTGTACGTATACACCATATTGAGCGTCGCGTCGAAGATCGGGTCCATGTACGGGTCCCGCTGAGACACGAAGTCGGCCGTGACGCTGACCCCTTTGGCGTGAACCCCAGCGATGACTCCAGCCGTCTGCCTGAGCTGCCTCAGGTCGCCGTCGGGAACGCCCGAGACCGAGCTGTCGTGTGCAGCTCCTGCCAGCAACCCAGTACGCCAGATGGCCCCCACTTTGGAACCAGCAGCCTTTTGGAGCACCTTGACACGCCCCATTCGTTTCTGCATCTTATCCAGACGTCCCTTCGCAACCGTGCGAATCACACGGCCACCAACCATATCATGTCCCAAGCTACGCATCTGCTTCCTCTGAGTGAGCCTCAGCACTTTGGCCCGCGGAGAAAACTTCTTGAGCGCCTCACGGGTGGTGCCCACATAGCCCGACTTGACGGGCTGAACCAGCAGGCCAGCCTTCTCATACCACTCTTGAACATGCGAGTAGCCTTGACCAGCTCGCCCATTTCTTGCAAGTCCTGCCCCACCCACTGCAGGGTTCCATCATCCACTAGAGCCCGAGGGTGAATCGTCGGACAAATCTCCTTCACACTAATCAACGTACGAATCATCAACACCGTCAGCAAGGTCGTGGCGTGAGTGCATCCAGGCAGGATACCTTGCCCCACCTCGTGTAGGACAGACACCGACCCAAACGCCTTCACCGCCCGAGGCATCTTGTAAGAAGTCACCAACTGCCACAGTAGTCGCAAAGGGTATCCGACTTCCCGAGCCTCACAAAAAAGACTGCTGACCTTGACCGTGTCGAAACACTTCCACATGTCCATCATCACCGTGAGCGAGTGCTCGCCCAGCAGCTTAGACATCTCCGCCATCGCGTTATGCATGAAGGCCGACCCGACGACGAGTACCCCTTCCTGTTGCCCCAGATCATCTCCGAGGGGAACTGCTGCAACCATTGCCGTGAAAGCGGTCGTCGGACTCTCGCCCAGACCCGTATCAGCGTGTGAATGAGAGCCACCAGTCGAGTACCTCCTCCTTCCTTTGGAGTCATAGCCATCTCGGAGTGGATACGATTCACTGGCCAGAGAAGCACGTCCTCGCACTTCATGAAAAAAAGCAGCCATGGCCCCCAAAGCATCACGCGATAAGAACCACAACGATCTGGGCTGCAGCTTCGACGGGCCCGCTGCCGTCTTCCACTTGAAAGACAGGATAGCCTGCACCAACATATCCGTGGTGATGCAAGGCAGAGAAGGCCAACTGGCACTATCAGTCGGCAACTGTATCTCGCAATCCTCATGCACAGTCCACACCTTCAACCACTTTCGCATTTCACGATCAGCCAGCTCGTGTGGTGACTGCTCACTGCCTGCCTCAATGATCTCCTGGGCTGCCTGTAACCTAGTAAAACGATGCGCACCACTAGCACCTTTCTCAAAGGCTGAATCCACGAACCTCTTCCATCGGGCCCGATCACGCTTCTCATGGGCAGACAGCAGGCGATCGTGAGCACCTTGGATGTTGGCAAACACCTGGTCAAAATCATCGCGCGCCAATAGATCAAAGCAAGATGACGGCAAACAGAATTCAGAAACCCATGCAGGTAGGGCTTACAACGTGCCAGCACAACCACGAACACCATGCATAAAACGAGCGAATTCCACCAGCACCTTCGCCAGCGCGGAATGATCAGCCAGAACGTTCACAATTCTGTTCCCGTCCTGGCAAATAAGAAGCTTGTCTACCAACTTGGCAACGTGCTCCTTTGCCCTCCTGCAATGGACAACCCACTTTAGAGCAACCATCCAAGCCCTTAGCTCAGGGCCATGCTGCAACCGTCGAAGAGGAGGTCGCCACTTGGCCAGTGCCATCTTGGTAAGTAAAGGGCCACCACGTCCAGACGTCGACGAAGCCTTCACCCCATCTACGCAATCATAGACGCCCTGCAATTCAAATTCCATGCCAGCCAGCAACTCGTCCCAAGCCAAGCTCAAGTCTTCGCTGGTTTGAGCATAAAAAACCTGCCGTTCAACCTCACTCCAATCCAATGGAAATCTCTCACACCCAATAGGCGGCGTCTTTGAGAAGGGAGCTGGCTCCACAACCTGTCGAACCCATGCTGGCCTGTCATCAGCTAACACGGGCAACTCCACAGGTAAATGAACTTTGATATAACTGTCGTCAACCACCTGAGGCCGAAGAACACGAGTACCCAAGTTGGCACAAACCAGAGCGTAATCAATGATACTGCCAGGCTGCTCCAACAAACACGTGGGCCTCGAAGGTGCTGCAACAAAGCCGTTCACGCCTGCCAACCATCCTGAAGAAAGCAAATCAGGCGTGAAGTTCCAATCTCCCATGACAATCCAGTCGCGCCCTATCGCATTCAAAACTGCAAGGTATCTCGCAATCTTCAAGAGTAATGCCTCATTTGCTGCACTCATTCCCTCACCAGAGATAAGATACACAGCAATAATAACAACCCCTCCTGGTACCATCCAGGAGACATCAGCAACAGCAATACGACCAGGCTCCAACTCATGCCCAGGGAGCTCAGGAGGCGCCTTCACCACGATATGCGTCGGAGCCAGGATGGCTACTCCACCAGAACGCCCCGTAGCGCCTGTCTCCACAGCCCCACCAAAGAAACCATGGAAGCCCAGATCACGAATGCGAGCCTGCAACGATGGAAGATGCTTGGCTAACGTGCGATGCTCCTGAATCACCACGATCTTGGACCTGCACGTCTCCATAAACATTTTGAAAGGTCCTGCACCCTCCACATTGGCAGACGTGATCACTCCCTTCAACCTGAGGTCAGTATAAGGCTGCTGACCAGACGCCAGAGCGGTGCTGGCCCCAGTAGACCCACACGTGGCCGAAGAAGAGGTCAACGCCGCCGTCGAACTCTCGGTGATACCGAAGAACTCGTCCTGGTCGAAGCCAACGTCGTCTGACTGCTGAAAATCCCGCTGGCAATCATCAGCGTCCAGACAGGAGTCTGCCACAACCTGCTGCTGCGGCAAAGCGTACAAGGAACACCATTACGCGGCATCTCAATAAGGTGCATGCACGACTGCCAGCCGCTGTCCACATTGATTGAAGAGAGGCAAAGCCGCCAAACGAGCAGCAGCCGCCCGAAGGCCCTCAAGGTCCTTGGGAACATGGTCCGCCAACTCGGATGGGTAAAGCGCCTCCAACGACTCCCGCAGCTCCTCTTCCTGGGCATCTGCAATCACCTGGTCCAAAGACTTGGGCTTGGCGCCTCCTGCTGCTGCAGCGGCGGGCGCTCCGCCCCCTGCCTCGGCACTCGGCGTGCCAGGCGAGGGACCGCCTGCTTCGCCTTTCGGCGTGCGAGGAGCTTGGGGCGACAGTACAGCCTGTCCGTCTCGCTTCGACTCATCAGCCTCTTGCCTGACCCAGAGCTTACACATACTGTCCGCAAGCACCTGCGCCAAGCCCTCCGCCTGCTCGGAGCCGAGACCCTGCGCCTCAAGCATCTTGCCCAAGGCACCAACGTCCATGGCCATGCCCTTGCCCTTCTCTTCGAGTGATGCCGACTCAGGAGCCATTGGCGCCTGCTTCGTGAGCTCCTGCACCTGCGCGCTGAGCGACACCACCTCCTTCTCCTGCTCTGTGAGATTCTTCTCGGCCTGCTCCAGACTCTTCTGCATCTCGCCAAGTTGAAATTTCCTCTCAGCCACCAACTCTCTCGAAGCTTCCGCCCGCTTCTCCGCCGTCTTGAGCCGATTAGACATGGTCTGCAACTTCGCAAACATGGGGCGAGACTCCTGAAGCGTGCTGTGCAAACGCTCCTTCTCGACCCGTAACGACTCCACATATGCGCCCGCCTTCGACTCATTGCTGTACTTGGACACAAACGCCAGCTGCTCATCGATCTCCTTGGGCCTTCTGCGAATGTCAGCCTCATCATCCTTTTCGCCAGCGTCGACCTGCATGTGGCCCCCGAAGAGCCCACGTTTAGACTCAGCCTGAAGCTCCTTGATCTTCGCCTCCAGCTCGCGGATCTTCGCCTGCCCTGCCGCCTCAGCAGACGGGTACTTCCACGGCGGCATCTTGGACTTGGCGCGGACTGAAGGCTCCGCGGGCTGAACGTTGCCCCCGAACGTGACTCCTTTCGCCAAGCCGCACATCACACACTTCTTCGCATGCGCCATGTTCCACCACTGCTTACCCGTGCGATCATTCTTACAACTCTTGCAATACCACCAGCACGCGGAGTCCTCGCGCGGCCCCATCGCAGCGACGTTGTGGGGCCACGAGAGCACCTGCTCACCTGCGGGGCCGCAGGAGGCAGCCGATCGGCTGGGGCGGACCAACCGTCGGAAAGAAAGCTTGTATCTTCTGGCCGCGGTGACAGCGGTATCCGTGCAAGCCTGGAGGCGGAAGGCCTCCCAAGCATTTAGTCTTGAGCCAAAATGGCTACGGAACGGGACGACGAAGAGGAGGAGGAGGAGGAGGAGGAGGAGCGAGCACAACGGCAGGAAGATCACGACGAGAACGAAGAGACTTTCAGCGCAGCGGCAACGGCACCTCTGGCACGCTCGGAACGAGAACCCTGGCAAGAACGCTGGCTGATCGAAGCGCGCCAGACGCGAACCGGCACGCACGGACTGGACTTCCCGCCAAGTTCGCTCCGAAATCCACCTGCTGTCGGACGCGAGCCCACTCTCGGAGTGAACTTCATGGGAAGACACTGTCAACGAAGCTCGCAAAGCGAAGCTCACCTGAAGAGACTGGTCACGCTTGGAGTGCACCTCTTGACGGCAGTGCTGGCAAAACGATTCGGGCGTTGGCAGAACTGGGTTTAGTGGGACCTGGTTTGAACGGGGCCCCCCAAGCCCCGTTCAAGCCCCGTTCCACTAACTGGAACTGCCGTCACCCGAAAAAACACCAGCTACGTCAGACCTGGCTTAGGGTTCTGGCCAGTTTAGGGCCTCTGGGGCCCTACCACTAACCGGGTCCCCTTACCTGGGGTCCTGGCTATACTCGGGAGCGGCCAAGAGGGGGGTGTCCAAGAGAGGGGGGGGTGCAAATCATGACCGGCGGCACGTGCGCGGCCCAGCGGGGGAGCCAGGGACGTCATGAAACAAGAAGAGGCGCCATGAAATCTGGGGAGGTATCATGGCCCACGCCATGAGATCCACCCCCCCCTAGTCATCACCATTTTTTGGTCACCCCTGAGCCGCCCCGAAGGCACTTTCAGAGTCCCTGCGGCGCGCGCGACCGTGCGCGGCGCCTTTCGGTGCGTCCTTTGCGCGGCGCTCGCGTTGAACGCGCAGTTTTTGCGGCGCCGACCGTGTGGGCAGGGTGTCCCGCTGCAGGGGTCGTTCGGCCGTCCGCGCCAGGGCGCCCAACGCCGCAAAAGAAAATGCGCTGGACCCCCCCTCTTTGCCGCCCCCGATATACCCGAACGAGGCACAACCGGAGCGTGCCGGAACGGTCAGAGTGACCTTCCTGCCGGCGGCGCCGGCCGTGCGATAAAGTGCGCCGAGGGCGAGCCGGCACGCTCGCGGTGCTCGAGCTCTCCGCAGCGGTGCTGGCAGCGCAGCGTTGGGCCCGGAGCGAGGCGGCATGCCGGGGGCGAGCGACTTCTGGCAGCAGCTCCGGCAACGCCGGGCGAGCACGAAGGTCGTGTCGGGCCGGGCGAAGGGGGGGGATAGCACAGACGAGACGAGACGAGACGAGCGCGCGATGTCGGTCCAGCGGGACCGGCCCTACGAGGGCAGCGCGGGGGGGCCGGGGCCCTCAGAAGACGTGTTGCGGGATAGCACAGGGGGGGGGTGAGAATCAGCTTGCGTGGCTGATTTTCCCGGCGCCTCCTGGCGCCGGGAGGCGGCCGTGTATAGAGGAATGGGCCCCTCCGCGGGGCCCATTCCAACTGCCTGCGGCAGATTATTTCGAAGCCCCCCCCTTTCCCAATCCCCCCCCTTTCGGCCGGGCCCGATCCCGGGGTGGCACCTCCAGGTGTGCCAAGCTGTGGAGCGACGAGCGAAGGAGCCCCAGGAGTAGAGGAAAGAGAACTATGCAAATATACCGATTCTGGCCAGGCCCATCCTGAGCCCAGGATCGGTGCATATGCCCTCCTACCTTGGCCAGGAAGGCATATGTACAGATCCTGGGTCAAGGATGGACGCTGTCAAGGTCGGTGCATGTGCATAGCTCTCCTGGCCCGAAGGAGGGAGGGAGGAGGAGCCGACGGAAGATGGCGCAGGCTTCCTCTGCAGCGAGGGGCCCGGCCAACGCTCCCGGCCAAAAAGCCCACGAGTCCGGCCAACCCTCCGGGCGTATCCCCCTCTGGCCGACCCTGGTAGATAGCACCCGAGTGCACATACAGGAGATCGTGCCCCGCTGATCCTCGAGTCTCTCCCGCGTGTCCTCGCTTTTTGCTCCTCGCTCCTCTCGCCTGCCTCCTCCTGCTGGGGCCTCTGCGGGACCCTCGAGCTGTTCACGGCTGGGGTGGACACGCCGCCACCGTGCCCTCAGCGCGTCGTCCGAAAACTCATGCAACCCATGATGGTTGCAACATTCTTGCGAGCCCGGGCCCCTGGTTTTCCAACCGCTCTCGGGAACTCCTGCTGGGTGCTCTTGGAAACTCCCCAGACCTTGGGAGCTCTTGGAAGCCCCCGGAAACCCTCAGGAATGTTTCAAGGATCACTTCAGATGGCCAAGAAGGGCCCCTGGGCGGTGCAAGACAGCGTAAAAATGGCCAAGATTGCCCAAAGGGCCCACAAAATGCCCCAAGAGAGCCCCAAGACCACCCGTAAGAGGACCCAAAGAGGCACAAAACTTCCCTAGGTTCAAGATATTCGCGTCTCGGGCTTTCACAGCGTCCAAGACGGTAGGCCCCCAAGAGGCCCAAGTCAGGCCCCCAGAAGCCCCGAAGAGGCCCCGAGAGAAGCCCCCAAGAGTGCCCCAAGAGGCGTCCTCCTCCTTCTCCTCCTCTTCCTGCGCCTACTCCCTTTTCCTTCTTCTCCTCATCCTCCTCTTCTTCACGTGTTCACCGAAGGGGTTCAACGACAGCTGGGGGAACACAAGGTCCGATAGCTTTAGCCAACTTGCCACACAGGCCCTTCCAGAAAGGCAGGGGGCGGCGGTGATTCGCCGTAGGCGTCTTCGACAACAGAGAGGGGACGGAGGAGGGGGGGAGGTGGGAGGATGGAAGAGCAGGTGGAAGAGGAGTACGTGGCAGGTGGGAGGATAGAGAGGGTGGGAGTATGGGTGGGGTGAGGGTGGAAGAGGATGGTGTGGGAGGCTGGAGGTGAGGGGTGGGGGCCAGGATGGAGGAGCAGCAGGACGACCCTGGCGCCCCGCGAGCCTCCCCAAGGGTTCCACGTCGCCCCCCTGTCCAGCGTGGTAGCCGCCGTAGTCCACTGGCCCCGCGCGGGGGCACTGGGCGTCTCGGGTCGAGTCTACCCCTCCTGCCTCTCGGGTCGTCATCGTCGTGGTCGTCGTCAGCGTCCTCCTCCCTCCTCCCTCCTCGTCCTCCTCCCTCCTTTGACCCGCCAATTCGTCCTTTCTCCTCTCTCCTCCTCCTCCACCTTCATCCCTCGTCCTTCTCCTCCTCCCCCTCCTCCCCTAGGCTACGCCCTGTCCGTCGCCATCGAGACTTTGGTTTCAAGCAAGGGCCGCATGTGGCCATGTTAAGACGCTGGAGGACAGGAAATGCCGATGGTCCTCGTCTCCGTGTGGCCTTTCCCAGTCTGGACATCCGTCGACTAAGTTGTTCGAGTCGCTGGCCCCTGGAGATCCTATCTTGAGACCATCTTATCATTCTGACTCATCTTTGACGGTCAAGGGTGCCAGAACCAACTGTCAAACGCCAAGACATACGAAAACCTCCAGCGCAAGTTCAGTCGCCAAGGTCCAGGCAAAATCTGGTCCAAATCGGTTCCCAAACCACTCTCGCTCTCTGAATCAATCCCGACCCCCGCTCCGAACTGCGTCCACCCGTGGTGACGAGCCCCTACGCGGAGGCCAAGCGAGAAGGACGCGGAGGCCTCGCCGTCCCAGTTCCGGGCGCTCAGTCCTGGAGGAGAGAAAGGTCACGGAGCCCCGGGCTGTCCCTCCCAATTACCAACTCTTCACACCGAGCCGCTCTTGACGGCCCCTCGGTCCAGCGAGGACCCTGAGAGCCCGAACGAGGAGAACACACTTCCAGAGTTTGGCCTCCAGGACCCGCCTCCTTCGCGTGCGGGGCCCGCAGCCACTCCCCCGACCAGTGCGCTCTGGCCAAAACTCCAGGGCGGATGCGGCCGGGGCGACGGGGAGCCTCCCGGAAGCCCAGGCATGCCAGAGGACGTCCCTCCACCCTTCAAGCCTGACCTCCCAGACCTCTGCTTCGGAGGCAACTACTGGGAGGTCTTCGTCGGAAGGATTAAGGAGGATGAAGCCCAACTGGGGGGCTGTTACGCCGGAGTCGGCCTCGGATTAAGCGGGATTAAGCCGGACTGAGCGGGATTGAGCGGGATTGAGCCGGATTAGGCGATATTAAGCCACATTAAGCCGGATTTCGGACCAGGGCAAAATCAGAATTTGACCTCCCAGGAGTTGCATCCGAACTCTTCCCTCGCTGGAAACAAAAGAACCTGCGTAAATCAAGCAATGGCGAAGCGTCCTGGCTCGCCTATAGGCCCACCAACTAATGTTATAAGTTTAAAGAACCGTTTGTGGTTTGCACGAAATGTTATTAAAACATGCCTGGCCGAGTCTGTCTTGTTTTAACACATCGGGTTCATGTTCTGAGAACGCTGTTTCTATTGTAAGAAACGGTCGGTCCCTGCTCAAGTAACGTTAGGTCGGGCATGTCCCCCTACAGCTGGATTTTGGACGACTGATAAAATACCCAAACAATTCCCCCAAATGGTCGAGATGGTAAAACAAATCGTCCCCAGACTGTGCTTCGACTATTCTTGGATCTCCCTCCTGTAGAGGGACTCGCCCGACCTAAAAAAAAACTTGAACTGCTGGAGGTTCGCCCGGCTGTTCTGGATCGCCGCAGTGTGCGCGCGAGCACCAGCTTGTGAGGGGGGGGAGGTGCAGCCCCCCCTCCCCCGGCACGAGGAGGAGGAGGAGAGGAGGAGGAGGAGGAGGAAGAGGAGGAGGAGGAAGAAGAGGAGGAGGAGGGCCCCACTCCCCTGGCGCCCGGAGAGCGCGCCGGATGGCGGCGCCAGAGGCGCCGGCGGGAGGGGCCCAGCGGCGACCCGAGACGTCCGCCGGACCTCGGGCAGCTCGCGGCTTTTGTGCAGCTCGCTCTTCCTCGATTCGTTTGCTTCT